CTTTCTGCGAGGAGCTCTTGCCCTGACTTCTTACAGGGGATATGGCAGGCATTTTCGGGGTGCCTCCTGCCGGTGCTTTTCCCTGCGTGACCTTTGCGGTTGCTCCTCAGTGCATGCCTTGTGCCCCGATGGTTGAACCTGATTTTGAACCTGCTTATCGCAGCCGGTGCTTGATTTTTCAGGTGTGTTGCTCCTAGCATTATCAAGCCAAGGTGATCTCTAACTGCTTGGAGCTTCACCCGGGCTGCACAAAACTTAACCCGCGCATCACTTATCTGACGTGGTGAGCCTGGAAAGCATGAACAGGCCGCCGCGGCCGCTGTCGAGGCTCTTCGGGTGGTGTCGGAATGAAGCGCCTCGGTGCCAGGACCCCCCCCCCCTCCATAGTGTGCCCCGAAGGCTACTGAGGCCAGGGTTTCATGGTTATATCGGTACCCACTTTCCCCGAGCCCCCAGCCCGGCTGAGGCTTCAACTGGGTTCTTGTTGAGGGATCTGATTTAACTTACCATAATAAGGAAACTGAAACCCTATTTTTAGATCTCTGTTATGGTAACTTAAGTTCACTTCTTAACAAGATCCCAGTCAATGGCGTGCGCCTTGGTGAGGGTGGCTGCGCCATGCGAAGCCGGGCCGGCAGAGCTAGAAGGGGCCGCAAGACATGGGTCCGGATCTGGTTGTAAGGCAATGCACCGAATGCCCGCAACCTGACACAAAAACCTCCACTTACACCCACAGAGTTCGTCGCGGTCCCCTGCTCCGATGCAGTAGGCATATCTATGCAAACAAGTGCTACCTTTCTGACACGACCTGTGCCAGAATACTGGCATGTGCAAAGGGCAGAAAAAACAGGCTGCGAGATGCAAACGCAGCAAACTCCAAGTGCAAGCGACGCAGCCCTCCTACAAACCTTTGGCAAGCACAGGAACTGGCACCTGTTGATGAGCTGGTTCGGTGCATAATATGGATAGAGCTGGCCTCGAAGGGAAACATCGGCTTCTGGTTCGGCCACCGGTCCAGAGCAAACCCTCCAGCTTCATAGATGAGCTAGCGACAGATTCTGGCCACCAGTAGAGACCATGTAATCCTCCAGAAAGCCATGTAAACTCCCTCTGCACAGCGCATTCCATTTCCCCAAGGGCACCCGCCAAAGAAGCCAACGATGTTCGAGTAGACACCTCTTCTCCTGGCCCAGTACCTCGAGCATCAAGCTTCTTTCACGTGTATCTAGACAGTAGCGGACGAGGCACTTTATAAACCGGAGCGTCCGTCGAAAGGTCTCCTGCCATAGATTCGACAACACTTCCGCGCATCAAACTTCGAAGTCTGCGATATTCTGCGATCAGATTAATTAGCAGATTCCACTCCACTCCTGGTCTGGAACAAGATTCAAGATCTGGTCTGCCACCTCAGTTGTTCGGTAGCTTCGGCAGCGGCGCTTCGCGCACGAAAAGCTGTACTCTACGTTTGTGGTATGCGCAATGGACACGGCCGTCCGCGAGATACGCAGCTCGTTCTGCCCATGCTTATACAGACTTAGACATGTACAGGACTCTGACAGCACAGTATCAGCAAGTGGGAAAGGCATTAAATGAATGTACACAGAACGAGTAAACAGTGCAGACTAAGAGTGAACACACTTCAAACTTTAAAACTTATAGAGAAATGAAGTACTTGTACACTTGCTCGCAGTACCAGGCTGGGCCGCTGCAGTCCTCACAGTCACAGTTTTGCATGTGCAGGCGAGGGTCGCGAAATCCATTCAAGCACCGTACCTGCGTCACGCGAATTTCCTTCTTGCGTCTTATCGTTGCAAGAAAGTAATGAAGTGCAAGGCACGCTCTTCTCATCCATATTCTTCAAGACCTCGTCCTCTTTTACAACCTGCAGCCCAAAACTACACATCTACATCACCGCAACTCTCGACCAGGTCAAGAAAGTATCGCCTCTTCTGCTAGTTCTGCCTCTGGTGCCCGCGCCAGCCGGGAGAACAGGAGATCGATGCCTCCATCAACTGCAAGCTCAAGACCGAGAAGGACCCCAAAATTTCCCCCAAACCCAAGAACCACAATCTGTCGGATGAGTCGGCTATGGCCGCCGCAGACCCCACGCATCTTCAGCTTGATGATCGGAGTGTACCTGGTTCCACGGAGACTGCTCGCAAAATCGTGCACGCTGCTCTCTTGATCAAGCAGGGCACGCATCCGGGATCGGCACACATTCCGTTACATCTTCCTTGCAGTATGATCGGAAGGTGTCCATCATGCGCGAGGCATGCCGCAGTGCACTCGGGGCTAGGGAGGATGCAGACCGACAGCCCCGGAACACCACGCGCCGAAACTGGTAAGTCAAGTTTCTGAACAAAACAACCTGACCCATTCTTGCAGCCTCTGTCAAAAACTGACTGCGCATCGGCAAGATCTGCCACAAAATCAAGATCTCGGTGTCGAACGTGCTGCTCCAGCTGGCTGGCAAACCTAGCCAGTCTCACTGACTCATCACGCGCACGATCCCGGTGCTGAATCGCCACGAGTACGTTCTTCATTGATGTAGCGAAGTATACCCAAGTGGTGCAGACCCAGTTGCGTTGAGAAGAAATCCTCCCGCCGAATGACAGGCCTCGCATCTAAAACAGTTTTTGGCCAAGGTGTGATAAGTTTTGGCTACAGTTGGAACTCGAGGCCGGAACGGTGCAATGCACAGCGTGTCGATATCACTTCCAGGATGCACAACACCAAGCCTTCGACATGCAGTAATGCACTCAGCTTGCCCTTCTGCGCGGTCTCCCGCCAGGCAATGTCAGTGTCTGAAGGCAGGAATTTGTATGCCCTGCCAGCCTGTAAGAGCCCAATGTTGTGATCTTGACTGTGGACCTAGGCAAAACCACTCTGCAACCCTTGCACAGCAGCGTCGACATACGTCGATGTGGCAAGTGGCTTTTTGATCTCCTCCTCGGGGAGGTTTGCTTCTAAGCCTCGGCTCAGCGATTCTCGCTTGGCAAAGCCCTTGAAAAATCCGTGCATGGCTTGCACTCCGGCTTGCAAGGAGTCTAGGTTGCGAACAGAGCTTGGCCATCCAATCCTTACCAGTAGCAAAGTCCAGCTCCGCTGTGCCACGTCTGGCCCATGCCGAGGCCAAAGCATGAAACATTCTCTCCAACTCCTGCAGCACACCCTGCGCGCCAACGAGACATAGACTGCCGCTCCCTGTGGACGGAGATGCCTCAGATTTTTCCTGCCTGACGTCGGTCCATTCCCTCGGCAGTTTCCGTCGGAAACACTGTCTCCAGTTGGTCCCGCATCCTGGGCGCGACATCGCCAGACCGTGGGCTTGGGGTGTGACAGCGAGCCCCGGGGTGTCTGCTGCTCGCTCAAGACCAGATCATGTGCTTCGGCTTCCTGTGCTGCATGGACTCGTAGACTGCTCTCGGGCACATGAACCGACTGCGTCATGCCTGCAGCGAAATGGGGTCGGAGACCCCATACCTGCTTTCATTGCATCTCGGCATGAAGCCGAAGTCAAGCAGTTGACGGAAGGGGCCTCACATGCGGGCCATTCTTGCCGCCTTGTGGACTGGTCCCGATCCTTGCGGAGGGCTTCGAAAGGCTGACTCGCATGATTTCTCATGGACAGGTTGAGGCTGTGACGAGGGCTGACTCATCTACATGACCCAATGTCGGGGTCCCCTCAAGTTTCCCGAGCAGCACATGAATGCTGCGGGGCATCAGCCAGTGTCTGGCTCACGCTTTGTTATACTAGGTCCAGACTAAAACCATGATGCCAAGACCTGGAAAAGCTTCCAGAAACAAGTGACTCGAAGTTGAGTCGCAACTTTTCTGCTCGGGCCATCCGCATGTCGCACGTGTCTCGGAAGGCAGCTCAGAAGTAGTTCTCCACGAAGGGCAGGGGGGCCAGCACCTCCACGTCTTCTGGGGAGGCGGTCACAGTCTTCATCGGCTTGGGACCCTCCGGAACTCGCTTGCAAACGAGCTTTTTGCCCTCAAGCTTCGCCTGCTGCTTCTTCTTGTCATTGTCCTTGACGCGATGCAGGAAAGCCTCGTTACAGCGCGACTTGCGCACGTGCTCGATGCGCACGTGGATCCGCTTCCGAAGCTGGCGATTGCCAACGATCTTGGTAATCTCGACGCCGAGGGCATTGCGATTCACATTGAAGACAATACCGGTTCTGCCGTGGTACAGGGAGTAAGGCAAGCCTTTCTGAATGGATGGGTCTGCCACGATGTCCACGTAGTCACCGCGCTTGAAGTTCACCAAGTATCGGGCGATGCCGGGTCTGCCCTTGGTCCTGTACTTCTTAGAGTACTTGTCGCGCGTGCCATGGCGGTAACCCTTCGAGATCACGCGGGTCTTTCCCATGCCGGGCTGCTCTCAGCGAGCGGCCTGTCCCTCGAGCAAACACTGCCTGCGCAACAAGCGCGCGAGTTGAGACAGCTTTGTGCACCATGCAAGCAGGCAGGCAAGCTCGGCTACTCAGTGCCGAACAAACGACCAGTCTATTGTCAAGCAGGTCGTCGAGTCGTCAGCTGACAGGTGGGCCAAAGGAGCCCACGAAAAGTGCATCGCAAGCGGCAGAATGATCGATGACTTATACATACCCGAACCTTTTCTTCCTGGTTCTGATGTACAGAGTGCTGTCACGCGGGCGCTGCAAGCTATGAAGACAAATCCCACAACACTTCGACTTCATAGCAATGCAGCTAGTCGTGGCGCTGCTGAATGAACACTACGACGACGACTACTACTGATACTCCTGCTGCTGCGGACGTCTGCGACGACCACAACAACTCTATCCACTTACTGCTGCTGCTACTGCTGCCACTGTTGCTACCGCTCCTGCTAAAAGCTGGATGCTTCACAGATCTGCCATGACCACGCGTTCATCAGACATGCATCCTTGAGATGCGCCCCTTTTGCAAGCAAAATGAATGACATAAACTATAACTCATAAAATAGACTCCAGTATTATGCAAAATCGTGCCACTCATTGCTCGGATGCTGGAGGAATTGTCGGCAAAATGACTGCATCTGTCTTTTTGTCGCCAAGTGCGAGTGAAGGAAAAGTCGGAGAAGGGGCCTCCTGACTTTCTTGGCGGCCTTGTGAAAACCGTTGCGCCCGCCTGTACAGGCACTTTCTACGAAGTGCACGAGAGCGACCGAAGCTCTCAAAGAACTTCGACCTGCATGGAGTCGGACTCCTCAGATCTGATTTCATCTCGGAGGTGGCCACGGCCACTATGGGCGTCTTCTCATTTGCATCCGCAAAGTTAGCCTCCACTTCGTCGGCTTCGTCGGGATGTATCCACTGCTCAAGAACATGCGAATCGCCGACAATTTGTGGAACAACAACCGGTTCCGTTCCTTTGCGCATTTCCGGTGGACCAGGTGGTACACCTGCCACGGATGCAAGCAGAAGCTATCGGAAGCTGCTTTTGTTGCAAGACCTCCAAAGCCGGTTCGAGCAACGACTGCAAAGCCGGCAGGTGGGCATCTCGACTTAGTCCATCCTTGTACAACCTTACATATTTTGCATCTTCACTCAACATTACCAGTAATAATAATAATGATAATCGTAACGTAGCAATAACTTACCATCATTTAATGGCATTTCTTTGGTTGTTCTTAACATTGCTTGCAACACCGGCCTCTGGTACAGACTTGCCATCCTTTTGGGCTTGCTTCTGCCGCTCCAACTGCGTCTGATGTAGTCCGCCTGCACTGAGTTGAGAAAACATGCCAATGTCCCAGAGACGATGCCCCTAGCAAGCCACGGAAGACCAAGAATTTCCAATAGACACACGTGCAAAGTAGTTCAAGAAAACACACACACACACACAATGAACAAATGCGTGGTTCCACACAGCGGCCTCCCATTCCTTGTGCTGCCGCCTCCACAAGTTGTGAGCCTCTCGCTGGACTGATCATCCCAAATATTGAGGGCCTCTGCAAATGCCTTTGTGGAGTTCCAGACCTGAGGTGGATAGAAACAATAATCGTAGTAGCAGAGGTGGTAGTAGCTGGTGCCTGGGCCTCCACCTACCGCAGAGAAACGAAAGACTCCGCTAGCTTTCGTGAATGGATCGTCAGTATGGCATCATCACCATGGTCTGCCTAGGATATCGGGCACCCAGATGCAAGGACGTTTTGGTTCAGGCTTTCTTTGAAAATCTTTCTCAGTGTCTCAGCCAAAGTATTTCCAGGCACCGCATAGCGCTCAACAGTTCAAAAAAAAAACAACAAGCAGCTAAACTGCAGATGGTGATCACAAAGTGGAGTGACATAGCTACACATAAAATGCCCTGTGCGGGATACCTTGGGACCTTGACAACCAAACGATCATCGCTTGGCAGCTTGAAGGGATCTGCATTCTCCTGACGTTTATCAGAAAATGCTTAGAATCATACTGGTCACAGGCAACCCCGAGAAAGGGGGAAAACACTGAGCTAGACTGCCTAGACTTCGATCTGGTCATCGGAGTCCATGGCTTGTTGCTCTGGCTTGCCTACCACCTCGCCGGCTTCTGGTGCGTTGTTGGCAATGTGCACGACATGAAGCCACTGACCCGTTATGTCACAACAGCCCATGGCACAACAGCCCTTCCACCCAGCAAAGAAAGTGACTGTGTACTGTGGGAATTGAGATCGCATGGCTTGCAATGGCTGATTCTCCAGCTCATTGTCCCATGGACTTGGCCAGCAAGGTTCTCCGCAACAAGCTGCTTGCTTGATACTGAAAGATGCATAGGGCTTGCCCAACTCGATAACCTTGTCAAGGTCTTGGCTAAGCCAGGCCGGGGCCATGTCATGAACATACTTGCGAAACTGTGGCTCATTACAACAAGCCATAGGACATGAGGTCTCCCAAACCAGTCGAAATGAGCCGTCTTCATTTTCTCCCGAATAATGCCAGGATTGCACATCTGGCTCGCATAGCGCTGCGCAGCAAAAATTTAGCATAGCTAGCCGAGCGAAAACTTAGATCGGGGGCTGCTCGGGCCGTTAAATCAGCATTCACGAAGACTGATTCCATGTCACATTCCATAACATGGCATGTCATCCGTCATGCCACGGATCAGATGAATTTGGCCTGGCCTAACCAATGGAGATAAGGAGTTGTTCATTCCTGAGATCGGAACGTTTCGGTCAAGAACTCGCATAGCCAATCCCATTCCTGTTTCGGGTTCAACATCTGACCATGCCTTCGAAGCTGCACAGTCACCCTGGCAGCTTTAGGAGCCAACTGCTTAACAATCTTATGAACCGTGTAGGAGTCACCTCTGTGGGCGCCATGCCCCATGCCTTTTTCAACACTTGGCATCGCTTTTTGTGAGCCTTGTATGCACGATGGAATCTAGCCCATGCCTTCCACGCATTCCACACATACCACGAATAGAGCGATCCTGTTGTCGCATCATTCTGGACAATTTCCACATCACGCTGACACCCTCAACAAGAGTCTGATCCTCGATGCGGTGAGTGTGTGCCTCTTTGTTCTTCGGAAAATGATCGCACCCAGCCTTGAGGAGCACAGGATTAAGATCATCAATGGTGCATGTGTCCGAAATACTGGCCTGAACCTGGTCCCAGAATTTGGTCAATGCCTCTGACGGAGTAGATTGACTGAACTCACGAGCCATAGCCAGCACATTGGGTCGAGGTCCGCACTTCTGCTGTGCTTGTCTCCACCACGGTTGCCACGACACCTTGATCATTGCAAAGACCGGGAAGTGTTTAGCTCCCTCACGCCATGCAGCAAGTTGAGTATCTCGCAAAGAAGTCGCTTCCCTGGAGACTGCTGCCACGTTGCCTCTTCTTGTAATGGTGAGGTCAAGCTGCGACTTGATTTGGCCAAACTCAAGCGTTATCTGAGGTTTAGACGTGCTCCAGCTATTCAGAACACGAAGACGAAGAACCCCGAGCAATGTGTCCAATTCTTCAATATCCTTCGCTTTAGATTCCTTCAACCGTCCAAACGTCTTCATGTTTTATGCTCTTCTCGTAGCTGCGGCCATTCTCCAGTTTTGGCAGTGTACATATTGATACAAATACAGTTCCTGATTCTAGCTCACAAAGGAATTGCCAACCTGCAAAGTGCCGAGACCCGAGTATTGGCAACGACACCAAATGATTCCTCGTTGGTATGGATGTCCTTGTCATCACCCCCACGCCCCCACGACAGTGCCAGAACAAGCAGAAATCCAGCTTAAGAACACAAAACAAGCCAACACAGAATTTTTGCGCGAAGCTGCACAGCACGAAGCACAGTTAACAGTCAATATCAGCCCAAAAACACTGCCTGCGACATGCCAAAACTCTAGGGCTAGGATGAAATCGACACAGCCTCCGCGGCACATTCGCACCACGTCAACAGCGACGACGACGACGGCGACGGCAGCAGCAACAGCATTTGTCAACCGGCTCCGGGCAGTGACGTGCCGTGACGTAAACACGAGAAACGGGAACGTGGTGGACAGCTAGACCTGCTTTGCCCCTGCTGCCTCGTCCCACACCAGCGTGTGCCTCTCAAGCGCTGGCGGCCACAGAGAAGACAGTTGTGTCCAGGTGTAAACGCCTTCAAGGGGCTGGTGAAGGCAGGATCTTTCGGAGGGCACTTGGGCATTGGGCAGTAGGTCACTGCTTTGCATCCCTCATGCTTGCCTTCTTCTGCATCCATCCTCCAAAGCTCATCAGAGTAGCTGCCCGCTTCTTTGTTCCAGCCTCCGAAGAGGAAGAAGCCCCCAGCAGTGGGATTCCACACTACCGCGCCGCAATCCTGTGCTCCTGGAAAATCATACTCGCTGAAGCTGTTGCTGGCGAGTGATCGTGTGGCTGCATCCCAAGCAGCTGCAGCTGCATATCGTTGGGTAAAGCTGCCCGATTGCACGAGCTCAGTCCAACCAGAACCACGGACGTAGCCCCACAAGTCGTTGTAGGCGCTGGTGCTGCTGTCTGTAAAGGGAATGTAAACATCTACATCTCCTTCTCCGCAGCACATCAACATTGCATTGGATGTTGCATCCCACACGGCCACGGGCTCAACTCGCGCTGCTGGAGTGCTCCCGCTGATGGTAGGATCGTAGTGCAATACGTCCCCCAGCTTTGTCTTGTCATCTGCCTCTCCACCGAAGACGATCATGATATCCAAAGACGTGTCCCAAACTGCTGCATGCTTTGCTCGCGTAGTTGTGTGCCCTGTCAGTTGCGTCCAGGAGTCAGAAGCCAAATCGTAACGAAAGAGGTCGCTCAAGAGGCTGTTGGTAGTACTACTGGACGGGCTGCGAGTCCCGCCACCGAAGATGTACATCCTCCGGTTCGCAGCGTCCAGCACCGCTGTGTGCATGTGTCGGCCAGGTGGTGCGGAGATGTATGACTTCAGGGTCCAGGTGTTGAGGCTCACGCTGTAGAAGTACAAGTTGCTCGAGTAAGACGGCGTTCCTCAGTCTGACTTGAAAATCGTCTGCAAATCAAAATTCCGAGGCTTCCTTCTGGAAGTTTGATGCTACGGGCAGCATTCGAACATTGCTCTATCTATCTTGTTTCGGATTGACGGCTTCGAGATTCGCCAAGTGCCAAAAAGAGTCCAGAGCGCTGGCCGCCAAAGAGGAAAATCCCCTGGCTCACCTTCCGACTTTGGCTTCACATAGCCGCAACACAGCCCTCTTGCTATGAACACCAAAACGATCATGGAAGAGAGAAAGCCAATCTGAAATTTGCGCCTCTGTGATGCACTGCTCCGACCCTGAGTCTTCCTGAATCGGTTCAGCAACAAACAGGAAATCCATGAACCACCTTAGTACTCGTAGGAACCTCGTCGAAGACCAGCGTGTGCCTTTGAAGAGCCGGTGGCCAAAGAGGTCGGCAGAGGTGAGTCCAATCGGCACCTTCAGGGCAGGATTTGAAGGAAGAGGTGGAGTACTGAGGCTCGGTTCATCTCGGTTCTCAGTCCATTGCCAACCTCAAGTCGATGCAGTGATCGAGCATAAGGCTACTGACGTGCTTTGTCCTAGACCATTGCAAGCATGTCATGTACTGCTAAATATGCAAACGAAGATTGTATCAGCTGTGCAAGCCAAGCAATTTTACAGAGGACTGCTTGATTCCGTCGGGACACGTTACCACGTTACCTACTGCATATATGCAAGCTGCAGCTGTCACCTTGGCCCAGGGCTCCAGTGAGGGAGTGCAGGAGTGCAAAGCAAAAACTTTCATCACAATATGGGGGGTGAAACAACAAATCAGACATCCAGGTATATGTGAAGAGTCAGCACGTTAATTGCGTCCCCTTGTTGCCTTCTGCTGCATCCATCCTCCAAAGCTCATCAGAGTAGCCGCCGGCTTCTGCGTCCCATCCTCCGAAGAGAGAAGTCCCCAGCTGCCGGATTCCACACTGCCCTGCCGCAGTCCTGCGCTCCTGGAACATCATACTCGCTGAAGCTGTTGCTGGTCGCAGAATAGGAGAATATTGAAGACAGGTAGTTGTTTCCTGACCGGTACCCAATGCAGCTGCAGTTGCTTGTCGCTGGGTAAAGCTGCCTGACTGCACCGTCTCAAGCCAACCAAAGCCAGCGATATAGCTCCACATGTCGTTGTAGGTGTCATCCCACGCGTCCGTAAACGGAATGTACATATCTACTTCACCTTCTCCGCAGCACATCAGCATTGACCAACTATTTATATCAAACACGGCCACAGGCTCAATTCATGCTACTGGAGCGCTCGCGCTGAGGATGGTGGGAGAGCTTGTGTCCGCAGCAGGATCGTAGTGCAATACGTCCCCCAGCTTTGTCTTGTCATCTGCCTCTCCACCGAAGACGATCATGATATCCAAAGACGTGTCCCAAACTGCTGCATGCTTTGCTCGCGGAGTTGTGTGCCCTGTCAGTTGCGTCCAGGAGTCAGAAGCCAAATCGTAACGAAAGAGGTCGCTCAAGAGGCTGTTGGTAGTACTACGACGGGCTGCGAGTCCCGCCACCGAAGATGTACATCCTCCGGTTCGCAGTGTCCAGCACCGAAGTGTGCATGTGTCGGCCCGGTGGCGCCGAGACAGATGACTTCAGGGTCCACGTGTTGAGGCTCACGCTGTAGAAGTACAAGTTGCTTGAATAAGTCCCGGATCCTAGGCGGTTTTTCGAAATCATGCCTCCTTCAAAGGTTGGCTGTAAGTACATGTGGTTCATGTGATACTTCAAACCAACTTGCAATAGCCCAAGAAACATGGAGAAGCACATCCTCCTGCTTGGCCAAGCATCCTTCCACTCTCCCACCAAACATGAAGATGCTTCGGCTCACCTGGGCATAGATCAAATCCAGTGAGGAGCGAAGAAGAGAAGCATGACCCTACAGAATGAGAAGGTGAGCCAGCCAACCCTCCGTTACAAACCTCCCCAAGTCTTACAGCACTATGCATTCTCTAGACTCCAAGCTCCGGCCGAAAGCCGAAGCGTATCTTCGACCCACAAACTCTACATCGTCCCCCTGCCTCGTCCCACTCCGTGATTGGTCTGCCCAGACCCGGTGGCCAAAGCTGAGGCGAGAGTTGCGTCCAGCTGTTGCCTCGAGGTCTACGACTCCTTCGGTAGATCTACAGGAAAGTCGTGGAATCGATGCGAACCGTCCGAACCACCGAAACGAACCAAGATCGAACTGAAACTGGTTCAGCCGAACAGCGACAAGCCTTGGTTACACCGGCTGGGTTTTGGCAGTAACCCGTTCAAATTCATCCTGCCTGTCGCCAGTGGAAAGATCGCAAAGACGCGCGCTGCCGAGCTCGACATCTTCGGCAACGTTGGCCGATGGCACCAATTATGGAGCCAGAGCTGGTGAAGTGCCCCAAACTTATTGTTGCAGTTGTGATTATCATTATGTTAAAATGTTCTGTTGTTGTATTGCTATTGATTGTGTGCAGCGAAACATCGAGCCAATCAGCTAAAGTCAACACGATCTGTCGCCGAGATGGGAGGGTGCAGCCGTCTCAATATGTACTACAACTGTAGGGATTGTCGAGGGCAGCTGGCTGACTGAACATGGCACCACGCTTGGGACAGCCGTGCGTTCACCTGGCTCTCACTCCCTCTGTCGCTCTCCGCGTTGCAACTTTTCTGCTCGGGCCACCCGCATGTCGCACGTGTCTCGGAAGGCAGCTCAGAAGTAGTTCTCCACGAAGGGCAGGGGGGCCAGCACCTCCACGTCTTCTGGGGAGGCGGTCACAGTCTTCATCGGCTTGGGACCCTCCGGAACTCGCTTGCAAACGAGCTTTTTGCCCTCAAGCTTCGCCTGCTGCTTCTTCTTGTCATTGTCCTTGACGCGATGCAGGAAAGCCTCGTTACAGCGCGACTTGCGCACGTGCTCGATGCGCACGTGGATCCGCTTCCGAAGCTGGCGATTGCCAACGATCTTGGTGATCTCGACGCCGAGGGCATTGCGATTCACATTGAAGACGATGCCGGTTCTGCCGTGGTACAGGGAGTAAGGCAAGCCTTTCTGAATGGATGGATCTGCCACGATGTCCACGTAGTCACCGCGCTTGAAGTTCACCAGGTATCGGGCGATGCCCGGTCTGCCCTTGGTCCTGTACTTCTTAGAGTACTTGTCGCGCGTGCCATGGCGGTAACCCTTCGAGATCACGCGGGTCTTTCCCATGCCGGGCTGCTCTCAGCAAGCGGCCTGTCCCTCGAGCAAACACTGCCTGCGCAACAGAAACACAAGCTGGGGTTGGAGAGTAACCTTGCTATGAATCCCGTATCCCCAATCTGGGTTATCGATTGTACATACTTCTTATCGTTTCTGCAGTCCACAGGTACCGGATCGGTTTAAGCTTGAAAAGCTGGCTCGGATTTGGGAGGTTTGATGATGCTTGATGTAGCAAGTCTTCAAGCTTCTGTTTGCAGAGGAGTGCAGACTCTCGAGCCAATAGTACTAGCAGTAGTAGTCACAAAAGGATTGGTGCAGAACTCATGGCATCGTGTTATTTCAGTTCAAAAAAGCATCCTAGACTAATCTACAAGGACACCCCTTGTTATACAACCTTAGCTGTCATGTGCTGCGATCCTGGTGCGAGACTTAGCCGCCTCTCGAAACTTTTCTGCTCGGGCCACCCGCATGTTGCACATGTCTCGGAAGGCAGCTCAGAAGTAGTTCTCCACGAAGGGCAGGGGGGCCAGCACCTCCACGTCTTCTGGGGAGGCGGTCACAGTCTTCATCGGCTTGGGACCCTCCGGAACTCGCTTGCAAACGAGCTTTTTGCCCTCAAGCTTCGCCTGCTGCTTCTTCTTGTCATTGTCCTTGACGCGATGCAGGAAAGCCTCGTTACAGCGCGACTTGCGCACGTGCTCGATGCGCACGTGGATCCGCTTCCGAAGCTGGCGATTGCCAACGATCTTGGTGATCTCGACGCCGAGGGCATTGCGATTCACATTGAAGACGATGCCGGTTCTGCCGTGGTAGAGGGAGTAAGGCAAGCCTTTCTGAATGGATGGATCTGCCACGATGTCCACGTAGTCACCGCGCTTGAAGTTCACCAGGTATCGGGCGATGCCCGGTCTGCCCTTGGTCCTGTACTTCTTAGAGTACTTGTCGCGCGTGCCATGGCGGTAACCCTTCGAGATCACGCGGGTCTTTCCCATGCCGGGCTGCTCTCAGCGAGCGGCCTGTCTCTCGAGCAAACACTGCCTGCGCAACACGCCAGCGAGTTGAGACAGCTTTGTGCACCATGCAAGCAGGCAGGCAAGCTCGGCTGCTCAGTGCCGACCAAAACGGCTCTGGCCGGCTGAAACTTGCCCTTCCGAGGCAGAAGCAAAAACCAGCCCTGCTTGACGAAAGCCATTAGCCGCAGATTTGTCAGAAACAACGAACGGTGGTGACTAGATGTGACTTCACCAAACCGCCCCCAAAGACTCGGAAAATCCGAACACAACAGCTACTGCTTACTGGGATCCCTGTTCGCTCACACAACAGGAAGCTATGGATGCAGGGGAAACCGGACGAGCATTTTTTGCTACAGTCGATAAGGAACACTACAAGCTGGAGAAGTCTGTATTCTCAAACTTCGCGAGCTCGGAGATCCACTCAGACCACTTCGCGTACTTCCAGTCGCCTGAAACCACGGGCACACCACAGCGCAGAGTCCAACGAGCAGGTGTCAGCATGCGGCTCATGCTTGCAAGGTTTTGCAAGCCCAGGGCACCAAGTTTCGCAATGGTCGTGATGCCAACCTGCGGAGTGGCATAAGAAGAAGCAACCGTCAGACGCTAGGCCGCTAGGCGGACAGGCGAACTCACTGCTCGAATGTAGAAATTTCAAGGGAGAGAAGTCGGATAGGGGCAAGGATGTGAATCAAGGCACTGTTCAGGAAAAAAGCAAGCTGACTACCACGAAGGCGTTATGATTCCATCTGCATGCCTACATGTCTCCTGGAGGCAACTATGCTGCCATATGCTTCGGGCTCCCAATTTTAAACCCACCATCTCACATAAGGCGATCTGCATGCGATGCCACGCAGAGGGCTCTGTGCCACAAACGCTGTTTAACCCGGCACAAACTCCAAACAACGAGAAGGATCGCATGGTACAGACAGAACTGTTTGTCGCGGCCTTCTGCCGGGGTTCGTTGCTCTGCGAAGCTTTTAGATTTAAATTCGACTTACCATGTCGGTGCATGCCCGGACATTGGATTCAAACAAACATGACGAAACCTGTCCAAAGATACAGTAAGTAGAGATCCTATCAATTCAGCACCGTGCGCTGAGCACAGACCAGCCCAAATTAATTTTAGACCCGGCGGTGCTTCGACAAACCGCCACTCGGCAACACTCCGAGTCTAAAAGATCAGGCGGAAGACACATCAATCCAACTTCAAGCAACTGCTGAAAGCGTTCAATGACATTTTTTCCCTCTCGCATGTGCTGGAAGTCTATGCCCTCTCGCGAGGTCTGACATGTGAAGAATATGTGAAAGCGCAGCTATCAGCCTTCGTGATGCCGCTGTTCAAAGGCATCAGTCTCTTTAGTGCATTCTCTGTTGCACTATGTGGTGTATGCAAAAGTATGACTGCTTCAAGCAAAGAGTGCTACCAAAATGGTCCTCGCACTAATTGGGCCTCTCTCATTCGATGGATCTCTCTCTGCTCAGTCTGCAATCCCCCAGCAGCTTACCCACTGGTTAACAGCAGTCTTCGGGGGCTCAGCACGAACCCTTGTCCAGGCTCAGTGAACTCCCCCAAGTGTGTCGCGTGCTGTTCGTGTCGCATTCTTCCTCAAAGCGTCGCCCGATAGGTAGTCCAACGGGTCAGATGATTGTCTGTTCAATGACATCGAAGTGAAGGTGCTCCATGCATCTCCATGCAATGGCTGCGGGTCACTCACTTGACTGGCGTTGCGGTCGTGGGGTCCCCGGACACGTAGCGAAACACGTGTTCGATCCAGGTCATTCGACGATGCATGGGGTCACACCTTTGAATCGTGGGGTCCCCGTACACGTAACAAAACACGTGTTCGATCCAGGTCATTCGACGATGCATGGGGTCACACCTTTGACTCGTGGGGTCCCCGTACACGTAACAAAACACGTGTTCGATCCAGGTCATTCGACGATGCATGGGGTCACACCTTTGACTCGTGGGGTCCCCGTACACGTAACAAAACACGTGTTCGATCCAGGTCATTCG